TATATATATATATATAGGTGGATAGATAGATATATACACACAGATAATATACCATATTATATATATATATATATAAGTGGCACAAGCCCCAAAAGTCCGAACCCTCTGAGCTCAAACTTAGGGTTTAAGGGTTTTGGGTCACAAAGTTTATAGGATTTAAGGGTTTAGGGTTTAAGGGTTTTGGGTTTAGGGTTTAAGGGTTTAGGGTTTAAGGGTTTAGGGCTTAAGGGTTTAGGGCTTAAGGGTTTAAGGCTTAAGGGTTTATCCCCTAAACCCATGGCGACCTGACGACCTTGCTTCTGAGGGCTCAAGGCACAGGGAACAAGGAAAATACGAGTTTTGGCTTTCTTTTATTAGGCTCTTGGCCTCTTTTATTAGGCTCTTATTATATTTCTATTAGAATTATAATAAGTCCCTATAATCAAGGAGGCACCACAGGAGGCCAAAACTGTCGGCTTCCAGCCCGACAACCCTCCACACAAAAGCCCTGTAAACTCGTGGGGCCGTGGGGTCTTCAAAACAAAACAAAACCGAGGCTTAACCCAAAACCCGAAGCCCAGAAGAACCCCACGTGTACAAAACCCGAGCCCTCGAGGAACACCAATGTTTCGCAGGTCGCATCGAAACTCTGTGCCATCGAAGCTAGCTGCTCGAGCTTCTCCTTCGCCTCGAGCTTCTGCTCTTTCGCCTCGAGCTTCTGCTCTTTCGCCTCGAGCTTCTGCTCTTTCGCCTCGATCGCCTCGAGCTTCTGCTCTTTCGCCTCGATCCCCTCGAGCTTCTGCTCTTTCGCCTCGAGCTTTTGCTCTTTCGCCTCGAGCTTCTGCTCTGGGCCGGGCTCGTATCCGCATACTCACCTCCACTGCTGAAGATCTCTGTCTTCTCCTCGTCCTCCTCCTCCCCCTCTTTTACTGCAGCCTCGGTGTCCTCTGCTGTCCCCTCCCCCTCTTTTGCTGCCTCTGCTGTTGCTGTCCCCTCCTCCTCCTCTTTTGCTGCAGCCTCTGCTGTGTCCTCTGGCAGCTCGGGCTCCATCTTTGGATAAACATCCCCAGGGTGCTCCTCCTCCTCCTCCTTCGGTGCAGCCTGCACAGCCCTCAAAGCCGCCATCCTCGGCACAGCTCGCTCGGCATATACAGCAGTCGGAGTCAAGTAAAAATCGTTGCAGCCATTGAGCATAGACACCAATCTGTCCACAGCTTCAGGGGTATCCAAAGTCACGAATGCACTGCACAAGCTGTGCTCTCCAAAATAGGCCTTCCTCACCATCTTGACTCCAAGCACCCTGAAACCAACCGGCTGAAGCATCGCCCTGAGCTGGGTCTCATTGACCCCCCATCTCAGGTTTCTCAGAAAAACTCTGCACTGCTCCATTGCACTCGCACACACGAGAGGGCTTCAAAAGCCGAGATCGTCTAAATGTTCGTGTATGCCTATATGAGTACACTGAGGATGTGTAGTTATCTGTATAAGTAGAAAATGTTACAGTACGTGTACGACTAAGGGTCAAAAGGTTTTACTGGGTTCATAGGATTTTGGATGTTGGGGCTTATATGGAGAAGACTATTGACTCCCGTCAAGGAATTTCAATGCAAGCTTTTCGGGACGGGGCTTAGAGGTTTATAAGGCTCCGGGTTTGGGCTGTAGGGTTGAAGGGTTTCTATAGGGTTTCAGGGTTGTCGGGTTCAGGGTTTGAGGCTGTAGGGTCAAAGGGTGTCGGTTGTTAGGGTTGTAGTTTGGGGCTTGATAAACAGATCTCGGAGCCGCATGATGTCAAAGGTTTTCGTGTTTTCTGAAGACAACCCAAAACTAAGCCGTGGACCTCAAAGCCTATATAACCCTTACTAAAACTTGTAGCTTTAAAACACCATTTACAACATAACACCCTAAGCCCTGGACGGTCACGTTTTCAACCACACCAACACCTTAACCCCAGCAACTTTTAACCCCTAGCTTACAGCCTTGAAACGGCAAAACATCACTAAAGCCCTGTTATAACCATAAACAGCCTAAGCCCCTCAAAACCTGAAGCCAACATATGTGTGTGTGTGTGCATATATCTATATACATATAGTGAAAAGACACTGAGATAGTTGTTGGGTAGATATACAGAGATACAAATATCGAAAACGAGGCTCCGAAGGTTGCACACAATGCTGATGCATGAAGCAGTGGAGAGAGAGGGAGAGAGCGAGATCAGGCGCAATTTGGCTCCCCTTGGTTGTAGAGGTGCTTACATGTAAGGATGGTTTTGGTTTTTTTGTGGAATCATATAAGACTTTAGGGTCTAGGGTTATGGGGTTGTCCTGTCAAGAGGTTTTGTTTTATAGGGTTTTTAAATTTAGGGTTCTGGGCTTATAGGTCTCAGGATCTTCAGTTGTATTCCTAGGATTCTTGGCTTTGCTGTTTTGGACTACATGGGCCTAAAGGGTTTAGTTATACGGTTGCCGGGAGTGTGGGGTTTCAGACTTGGGTTGGAGATCTACTGGGTTTAGTGCCATTGGGGCTTCATGTTTGACAGAATGAAGCTGTTGGGGCTCAGGGCCGAAGTCTTTCAGGGTTGATTGTTTAGTCTATGCGAGATTTGTTGTTTAAGGCTTCAAGGACTCGGCTTTGGTGTTGAAGGATTCTCGAGGTTTCGGGCTTTGTTGTTATTCTTGTAGGGCTTGGGATATGTATATATTTGTTTATGTATATATATATATAGATGGATAGATAGATAGATGTAGATAAGCAGATATTTTTTTATATATGTATGTGTGTGTATTATATGAATACACACACACATATACCCAAAAGTCATTCAACTCCGAACCCTGTGAGCTGAAGCCTAAACCTTCAAACCCTATAAACCCTGAAACCCTAAACCCTGAAACCCTAAACCCTTAAACCCTAAACCCTCAAACCCTTAAACCCTAAACCCTTAAACCCTAACCCCTCAACCCATAACCAACACCTTCTGAACAAACTCACGGTGGGGGGGCACATCCACTTCGAGTGTCGTCGTCGAGATCGCCAAAAGCGCCTGCATGGATGATGGTTTGGGCTCTATGTTTTTGGGCATCCTGTCGAGGTACACTCCAACTCTCAAGGTACACTTCTTACGGTACACTCTTTGTTTCGATCCCCCTCTCTCTCTCTCATGGTATACTCTCTCGGTACATGCAAACACAGCAGACTGTCGGTCACATGCAAACACAGCAGAGTGTCGATCGGTGTTGTTTTCACAGCTCATGTGCGAAATCGGACTCTCGTGCCAAAACTACACAAAACTTTCCTGGAGACCCCAGGAGTTCGCAGACACACACACACACACACACACTCAAACAAACATAAAAACCAATCATGTGTGTTGCTACATATAAATAACCATGTGTGCTGCTACATATGGGCATACACATGAGGGCGAGCATCACAGAGCCTAGCAGTCATCCTCATCATGATCATCATGATCATCATGATCATCGTCATCCACGGCGGGGGCTTCGGGCTTGGCCTGATCAGCCTTCTTCTGAGACTTTCGAATCAGGGGCTCCTCTGCATCAAACTTCTCGGCAGCCGCTTTATGAGCTTGCCGAGCTTTCAATCGGGCCTTGTCCTCGCTCACTCCTCTGGCGACTTCGGCATCGAAGGTGTTGTGCCAAGCCTTGCTAACGACCCTCTTTCGGCGACCTGAT